CCCAGCCCAGTCATTGTCACTGTAACCAACTAACTTATAGTTCTTATATGATGAGAACCATAACCCAAAATCAATTGTACCCTTGATATAACGAAGAAGTTCTCTTTGCAACCTTGAGATGAGTAACAGTTGGATTCTCCATGTGTCAACTGATGAGTCCAGTAGCATATAGAATGGCAGGTCTTGTGCATGTCAGATACCGCAAACTCCCAACTAAACTCTTGAAGTTTGTAGCATCCACCTTTTCTTCTCTATCAAACTTTTATAACTTCAACCCACATTGGTGTGTTAATTGGCATGCAACCATCCATCTTGAACTTCTTGAGCATCTCCTTTGCGTATTTTTGTTGGGAAATGAAGATTTCATCTTCCTTCTGTTTTACCTCTATGCCAAGATAGTATGACATTAGCCCAATATCGGTCATTTTGAACTCCTTGAGCATAGCTTTCTTGAATTCTTCAAACATATTTGGATTACTTCCTATGAAGATCAAGTCATCCACATATATGCACATGATCAAGATATCTCCATTTTTTATCTTGACATACATGGCATGCTCGTGTGGGCACTTCATGAAATTGTTTACTTTGAAGTAGTTATCAATTCGACTATACCATGCTCGTGGTGCTTGCTTCAACCCATAGAGTGCTTTATTTAGCTTGAGAACTTTATCTTCTTGCCCTTTCACCTTGTATCCCAAATGTTAATCGACGTACACTTCTTCTTCTAGAACCTCATTTAAGAAGGCTGACTTCACATCCATTTGATGAATTTTCCACTTATGTTGGGCTGCTAGAGAGATTAATTAGTCTTATGGTCTCTAAGCGAGCAACCGGAGCAAACACCTCGTCATAATCAATCCCAATATTTTGACTGTAGCCTTTTAAAGTCATATCCTCGTGACTATCTTAAAGTCATAAAGTTCAACCAATCCTTAGTCATATCGTCGCGACTATCTTAAAGTCATAAAGTTCGTTCTCACAAAGTCTCTACTCAAACTTCGACTAATCTCTTCAAACTACTCAAAAGGTTTACTTTCTCTAAGGGTTCACCTACCAATAACTAATAAGTTTAGCTTACACTGCTACAAATCTCTAGGTATTTCCATACTATACACTTCTAGTATCACCTATCCTCGACATACAACTCATTGC